TTTATTTCTGGACTGTGGCGGTGCTCGGGGTAGAGAGTGTCTATGCATTAAACTCGGAAAGGGGTTTATTTCCCATGGGAAGCTTTATTTTCCCCTGGGAATCCAAACCTGAGGTAGCACAGCATGCCAATGCGCCCCTAGACTGCTGAGAAAACCAAAACCACCAAAGTATCCATTTGGTTCGGCCCCAGTTTATGTCTTTTAAAAGTCAGAATCTGTAGCGGGTACAGATGGGATCGGAGAACTCGGAGGAGCCCGAGTGATTTTAGTTTTCCTAACGATTTCCTAAATGGTTTTCGTTTTCCTAAACCCTGTGGGGTTTTAATTGCAGAGATAAGGAGTAAGGCTGGTGGGTGGACGAGGAAGGGTAAGGCAGCAGGCCCTGTGATGTGGGTTTGTTGACGGTATCTCTTAGTTACAGGATATTCTAGCTGAGGTTGCGTTTGTACCTCTTAAAGGAAAATCTCCTGCTCCGCTGCAAAAGCACGTTCCAGGCGCTGGGACGGTTTCTAGAGCTGTGCGGGATAGATTAGTACACTACATTTCTAGGAATATGCGCGCTCTTGTAACAACTCATCAGTTACAGGCTGCTAAACTATGCAGAAAACTATGCAAATCCACGTGAAATTAAAATAATAGTGGAAATTAAGTCTCATTTGTAGTAATTTGTAGCGTGCTTTTGAAATATTCCTCTTGCTTATTTTATTTATTTGTTTTTATCGTAGCCACCGATGCTGTTTAAAATTGCAGAGGGGAAAAGATCACAGGAGGTAGAGGAAGGGAGTGTGTGTGAAAGGGGTGAGAGAGCAAGATGGATATTGAGATTAATTTTCTTGGCACCGTCTTTGTAAATCTCTTTGCATATAGTTAAGGAAATGAGCTTATTACTTCAGATAAGATTAGCTTCCAAAATTGTGTAATACTAGGCTCCTCTTGCCTCCCAAGGAGAGATTGTGACTGCTGGACTGGAAATAGTGCCTGGGTTAGGAGAAATGTCTTGGTCAGTGAGCAGCTGTCCTGGGCAGCAGCAGCCACTCAGCCCCAGGGCTGCCCAGGCTTCATCCCCGACAGCCTGGGCAGGTGCAGAAGTTGTTTCTCCTCTGCCAAGTGCATTTGGCCTCTGATTTTTAATTCACCCACGCGCAGCTTCTGTTTTTTTGTTGCAGGTGTTATCTATCCCCAGCGGGATTCTGCAACATCAGGCTTATGTAACTTCCTAAGTTAAAAAAAAAAAAAAAAAAAAAGCAAGCCACGAACAAAATTAATCTAACCCAGAGTATAATTTTCAGAACCAATAAACTGGATTTGTTGTTCTAGGATGCGGATTTTCAACTGATCAGAAGCATACGCTGAACGTTGTAGGTTTCAGCCAGAGTGTAGAGCCTTAAACTTTGGAGCTTAAGCCTCAATTGTACAAGAACTTACCTTCACTTTTGTGCTTTAATAGTGCAAAGTGTGCAGAAATTGCATCCTCATCAAAAGTATCTCTTTCCCCTCCTACAAAAGGTCAGATTTTTAAGTCAGACTTGATCAATAGTAACTAAACTAGAGCGTTCTATGCCTTCTGCAGTCCTAGAAAATCTGTGATTGGAGCAAAGAACTTAAGATCTTGCATCCTCTGACTGACTTGTGAGACTGACTTGTTTACTATACATATTTTGTAAGGGTGATGTGCTTCTTTTGTGGCTACTGTTTGAGTTTTGGCCAGCAGAGCAGTAGGTTAAATTTCTTGGGATTTCTCCCAGACGCATTCTCTGTTGGCGTTCCATTGGTTTTGCCCCACTCGGACCATACCGAAAAGGCAGTATTTCTTTCCTGACTTAACAACGCTGGATCTTCTTTGCGAATGGTTTCCTAAAGAATTCCCTAGAGAATTGCGAGGCTTCACTTTGGTTCCTAAATCTGTCACTCCACAGTATATATCTTGCCTCCCTGTCTCTGATAGTAAGAAGCTCTATTTCTAAATCGCTTTGTACACCTTCCCTTCAGCTGCCACGATTTTAGGTGCAGGTGTGAGCGTATGGGACAGATGTAGCAGAGGGTGAATGGCCAAGAGGAGTTGAAATAAGGCAAAAAGGGTGACTTGACAGGGTGTGAAGCATTATTTCACGTCACATTAGATGTATTACGGCATGTTACACCCACTAAATTTAAACGCTTTTTCTTATCGACATTAAATCTGTGGAATCTTGTTTTGCTTATGATGTATTGGAGATACAAAGTAACCATCCTGCTTCTTTTGAACTGGAAGGAGCCAGAAAGAAATTTTGTTATGCGTGACTTCCTGATGGAATAAAGTTCCCATTTCTTTGTGTTCTGATAACCAAACCTATCTGGAGTCAGTGATGTCGAAACAGATTGGCTCGAAGTATCCGTGTTTCGTGGTGGTGCTTTTGTGCTTCCCTCCTCTTGGCTTGTGCTGTAGCTTTTTCCATCTGTTCTTCATCCTGTGAAAATCGAGGGGGCACTCGCTGGGCGTGAGCCGCTTATCGCATTAGGGCTGAAGTTAAAGCTGGCAGTCATGTGTGCAGGGTAGATTAGGGTCTGCTTAATGACGGGTAAAACTAATTCTAAACTGTAAAGGTCTGTTTTGCACTGAAGCGACTTAAGAATGTGGTGTAGCTTGAAGAAATACTGTGCTAAAAAATCTCGTTTGAAGACTAATCTAGCATTAATGTTTGTATCCTTATTTCTTTTTCACTTAAAAGAAAAAAAAAGATTAAATGCAACTTTGGCACAAGAAGAGAATACAAAGCGAAGAGTTGGATGTGGCTGTGTGGTGTGGAAACTAGTTTTCGTGGGACTGGAGATAAGGAGTGGGGAAATAGAAAAGCTGTTCAGGAGGCTTTCAAGAGATGATTGGGTATTGACGAAGTCAAAGGGACAACCTGAAGCTTTTCTTCATGGAGACATGAGATGTCATGGGAAAGGTTGTGATGTCCTGGAGAGAATAAGGGTATGAGGTGTCTGGGGAGTGCCAGGAAATTGATAGGAAGGAAGATGAGGTGCTATTAAATCTAACTAAACATACCTGGCAAGTGACTGTTGATGTTAATAAAGTGGCTTTCAGCGGAACGGCGAAGGGCAGAGTTAGACTGGAGATGAAGGGAGGAAGCCAAGCGTGTTTTTAGTATGAAGTAATGGTCTGTAGCCTTGGACCACAGGCAACAGCACTGATCATCTGTTGTGCTTCAGACAAAATTACACTTTGCTCCTCTTTTGGCCTCAGTTAGAAATTCTTTCTTCTTGTCCAAATTAGAGAATGCCAAGAATTAAATAAGCAGAGCAACTTGAGCGATGTTTTGCCTGCAAGCCAAGCTTTGGGATCACTGGTGGGGTTCTGTAGGTTATCAGAAAGGGAGGAGTGTTTAGAAGGAGAAGAGGAGGAAAAATAACCGGAAAACAAAAAGCCTGTAAGAGTCCTTCTTCCTGAGAAGGCAGCTGTAATTTGTGGAGGGGGAGGAAAGAGAAGGCAAATAGACAATAGCAGGTCACTAAAAAGAGATGGAGCTAGCTTGAATTTCAAGGGCGGGTGTGTATTCTTGAGTGTGTGGGGTCAAGGAGGATGAAAAGTAAAATGGGAGGGGCCAGCAAAATCAATTTGAGAGGTGAGGGGGGAAATCTAGTTGGACGTGGTGAGTTTAATGACTAGTGGTGTGCTAAGCTTTGGAAGACAGAAGTCAAAAAAGGAGAGAAAAAACCCAAATTCTTTTAGTGTCAGAGGTTGGAGGTAGAAGTAGTGATAACTAAAATGTAGGTCAGCTTTATAGTTCCTGGCAGATAGTAAACATAGGCTGGAGTGAAAGATGGCTGCAAAGGATGGAATGTTGTTGGAAAAGGTGAGGAAAGAGAAAAAGCAGTACGGACACCCGAGAGTGAAGGAGAGCAACGAAGGCAGGTGAGAAGACAAAAGAACAAACACCCAACCAACCTGAGAGATAGGAAGAAAAGTGAAAGAAGTGAGAGTTTGTGAGGAACAGGAGAATGCCCGGTTGGGTCGTATTAAAATAAATAATTTGAATGAAGAGCCATATGGAATGGTTTTAAAAAATGGAGTTTTAAAACTTTCAGCACCATTTTATGTAGCTTGGAAGAAAACCCACTGACTTTCTGCAAAATATATTTTTCTCTTTTTTTTCCAGTGATCCTTTTGCTGCGCACCACGAACATATGCGGCAGATGATGCGAAGCTTTTCTGATCCTTTTGGCCGCGATCCATTTCTCAGTATAACAGATGGTGGGGAGAGAACAGTGGATCGAAGGGCACGCCAGGACTCTCAGGTTGCTCTAAGAGGAAATCGCAGAGTAAGTCTTTTCTTAATCCCCAAGGATTGCTACATGGAATTTACATTTACTGGTGATGTAGTTTGCTTCACGTTTCCATTTCTGTTAAATTTGGTCCAGTGGAAACAGAGACTTGGCATCAGCTATTGCAGCCTTGGCCAGGTTGTTTCATTGCCGAGTAAAATGTGAATAAAATCTCTTTTGTTTTTTTAATGGCCTGTTACTGAACACTGACAAGCTTCCATTAGGACTAGTGACAATTGAATTTACAATATTTAGTGAAGCAAACAATTATATTTATCAGATGTTTGGTTTAATAAATACCATGTATTAAATGTTTCTGATATAGAAAGGCATTAAATGTGTCCAATGACAGAGCCTTCTCTGAACACTTGTTTCCTTTTTATACTAACTTGACTTAAAAAGGTACTTTGATATGTCTGTGCCTTCCCCTTGCATTTTAGTATCTTGTGTCTAATGATTTCTGTTAGTTTGATTTAACACAAACCTGTGTTTTAGCCACCTAAATAACATCTATGGAGATATTTTTAACCCTGTTTCAAGATTGCAGCTGAATGAAGGCTTCACGTTCCGTATTTGGCCTGATTCTTCATGTTTCCTCTAGATCTCAGAATTAATTATCCGGTCACTTGATAGGAAGCATAGTATTTCTGTAAATTATGATCCCAAACTGATAACTTGGCAGTGATCTATGTTTAATATAAAGTAATTTTTTAATTCTCTAGGCATGTAGGACAATTATATCTTAGGCTTTTGTAGCTAAACCTTTTCTAACTGCTGTGTTTAGAAGTGGTGTATGTTCAAAGTTAGTTCCTTTCCCTCCACCAGGCTAAGTATTTGGACCTGGGTGTTCTCTTACTTTAATGAATCCAGTTTAATTTTCTAAAGCACTTGGAAGGCATGACAGATGACAAGGGCTTGTGGAACTCGGCCAGATCTGGTGGTGGCTGTTCGAGCCTGGATAGTTAGAGCTTCATAAACATAGCCGAAGCACAGACTATCGCCTACGAGTCAAAAGGGTAACTGTCAGATTCTTTCCTCCGTGCTCATACGTTGCCAGTTAGTTTCAAATATAGATGCTGCCGGATCTAATGAGGGCATGATCTTTCCTCTACTGAAGCAGGTTGTTAGGCCTCGGTTCAGTAGTTGCCTAAAACCAGACCAATCTTCCTTTTTTCGCTTTAGGAAAAGCCTTGTGGTTGTCTCAAACTGCTTTTACTGGCATCTTTCCAGAAGTGATTCGAGCAATTAAAATAATTAAATTTTTGTATTGGAAAAGATGGATATCTTTATTACTGCATACAATACACGTGGTTAAAATGAGCCATGCGGATTACCAATACTGTCATTCTATATTTAGGCAAACGGTAGCATGCCCAAAAGTGCTTTATAAGGATCAGAATTTGTTGTGGCAACTTGATGTGCAGGGAGGGGTAAAGGTTTTCCACAGGAGGAACGGGGTAAAACATCTTAAGAGCTACTGTTTGGATTCTCCGATTGTTCTGTATATTGGGCAACTATTTGATGGGTTTCAGTATGTAGTATAAAAGAGTTTATCAACTTTTTATGACTAACAGCTTTGTATCTGAGGATATCCTTTTGCACTTGATGTATAGAAAAAAATATATATTCTTTTCTGTCGCTCCGTGTTGGACAGAACTGCAATCTGAAATAGTTCATGTTCAAGAATCGCATGATGCCTTCCTTTTGTACTTTAAGTTACTGTAAAGTGTTTGTTACTTGTGCCTAACCGGTCTTTCTTTAGGTAGACTTTTATATAACTCTCCAGTCTTAGTTTCCTGGAAACGCCAGTGTGCTTTTCAGCATCTCGCCCCCTGTCATGTAGGGATATTCAATATCGGTTGGTCAAACAGGAACTGTATTTGACGGTGTTTATAGCTACATCTATTTATACAGCTGCAGCAGAGTAGAATTTGCTCATAGGGGATTTGTCTTCGGGTTCTTCTGTATATGATGATAGATTTACCTAGAACTTTTTTTGCAGCGACCTTTGAAACCACTGACAAGTTAGACTTCGTTTTGTTTATCACGAGGGATGTATGGATATTTTAGATAAATATTTTCTATATTTACATTAGTCTCTTGCAATATGTAAAGAGTGCTTGTGAACAGGTCAGCTGCATCACTTAATGTCTTTTAAGCTCTAAAATTTTACACCAGCCTTCTGGAATTTAATGACATAAATTTACTTTAAAGGCACTACTCACTTGTTGATTTTAATCAACTTCCAGCAATGGGGTTCTGTTGCATGAGTAGAACAAAGTGTTTTCAGCGAAGCGAGTGATCTCTGCAGCACTGCACAAAGGTTGCTGTGACATACAACTGTTTCTCAACCTGTAGTTTTAAGTGTTTCTAGTACATATGTACAAATATGACTTATTAAATGTGGTGGCAGCTATCACTTTCCAATATCTTAAGTATAAATATGTTGCTCCTGTATACCCACTTGGCTTTATATTGTCATAGCACACTACAAATTACAGAAGTCCTTTTGAGGGACTGTTTTTATTTGATTGGAAACATTTAATATCAACGGCTGCATGTGAAAGTTATTTCTGCTGTGTGCGATAACGAGTGTAATAACTAAAAAACACTGGTCCTTTTTTTCTTCCAGGCAACAAGCTGCTCTCTCATGCCCTTTGCAGGCTTTGGTAGAGTGGTTAGTATCTCAGGAGCAGTAATCCTTAGAGCCCTTGGTAGTACGTGCGTACTGTCTGCGTAACTAAAGCATGGGCAGGGCTGTGCTTGCAAACTGCTTTTCTTGGTGTTTCGATAACATGGAATGATATAATTCAAGAAAGCTTTGTATTTTTTAATTATTTTTCCCCTCTCTTATTAAACAAGAATGATGGAATAGACTAAATATGCAGATAGGAAAAGTGGAAAAATTACCATTTAGCAGTTGAATGTAGAGGTTGGTGCTGATTTTGGATGGATACAAATGAAATAATCCCTAGAGAGAGACCCCAGGCTTGGAGCGCTGCCCGAAGGCACACGCTAGTGGCTTGCAGGGTGTGATATCAGCCGCACCTGTAGCACTGGTCACAGCAAAGACCGACCAGCCTCTGGAGATGGAATTTCCATTGGAACTGGGCTCAGAATGGTTTCTGGCTCTAGTGTGTTGAGGGTCTCGAATATTTTGTAAGTGATCTGTAAAAAGGAGCTGAGGAAAACCAAGCTGGTCGTTGTGAGTCTCAAGGAGCTTTGTGTTTCCTTTGAAAACCAGTAGCTTTGAAAGTGAATCTTCATGTCTAAAAGTATTAGTTGTTGAATTATCCCTTCCAGAGGCATGAATTGGCAGCTTGCTCTGTGCGAAAAGTGTGTTAGCTAATGGCAATTCTTTTGGCATTAACTGCACAGGCTATGGTTTTAGTGCCCCTGCCCCCATCTGCAGCAGGTAATTCCATAGGTACAGGTGATTGCTGTGTAACGTCGTTGGTGAGTATCCGGATTTCTAACTTAGAAGGCAATTTTCCGGAGTTACTGACGCTTGCAGTGATTTGATGCTCTAAATTGTCTGTGATTCTTAGGAGAAGTTCACCCTTTTCCTACTTTCTGTCTTCTTGCCTCTCTCTTTTTTTTGTTGTTGTTGTTTTCTTCCAAAGGTAGATTTCGTCAGTAGGGTCAGTGTGTCCCATCAGCTACAGACCCAATTAACAAAATTCCATGCATGTAAACCTGTCTTAGTATCTGTCCTTTGTGCAACACTGGGTCTTCTGCTTTTGTGTAAAAATAACGAATGGCTCGTCGAATACATTTATAGCATCAATTAAGCTGCATATTAAAACACCAAGTTATGGTTCTCTGTTTTTTTCCCCACACTGCCCTTTTACGAGGTGTTGCTTCTGCAAAGGAACAGCTATGTCTCGTTTTCAATGTGATCCCATATGCATGAAGGGATTTGCGTAATTTGATCTTCAATAGATTATAAAGCATGGAGGGAAATAAAGCACTTTTTACAGCAGAAGCCAGTTAGGTTAGAAGGTATACGAAAACAGTTTGTGTAAATTGTACGCCATATGAATTTCTCTTAATATTTGAGTGTCAAATCTTCCACGTGTGTAAGCTTCCTTGTACTAGCTATGAATTTTCCACTGGAAAAAGGCGCATTTTGGCTTGTCTCTGTCTGCGAATTGCAGTCTGTGAAAAGCTTTCTGATGGTCTGATTGGCAATAAAAATGCATGCAATAAATGAACCTCAGAACTTGAAGAATTGCAAGGCTGTGTTTTAAATTTTCACGTCTTTCCTTTTAGCACGATGCAGATTTTGGGGACCCTTTCTTTGCAATGGACAGGATGATGTCAAATATGAGGAACAGCATGCTGGAAATGCAAAGAAAGTTTGTAAGTTTTTAAAAAATCTGTTCCCTGCTTGTTCTTTGCTGTCGTGTTTCCTGGCACGGGGAGGGCGGGGGCACAGCAAATGACAAGGTCTCCTCCCAGCAGGCTGTACATTCAGTGCCAGGGCTGAGGGTTGATTTTTCAGAGGGGTCTTCTTCATATCCACAAATATTAGCTTTTATTGATAAGAAATCTACACTGCTTGTAGGATGACCTCTCCGTCCATCCAGATGCCCACACGTTCAGCTCCTCCTCTGTGATGACTTACTCCAAAGTCGGGGATGAACCACCAAAAGTTTTCCAGGCTTCATCTCAGACACGCACAGCCCCAGGAGGTGTAAGTAGTGGTGAGATGCAACAAAGCGGTGGTGTGTAGTTATCGGAATTTAAGTTCATCGGTACCAAAGCACAGCTTCTTTTTACTGGATACACTTACTCTTATAATTTAGAAAACTACATGTGTGTTTAAATATTACTCTATATTAAAGGCTTCTTAAGTTAAAGTGCTATCTTCTTCCTTGTAATTTGTATGCTCCTAAGTATGCCTCTAAATAAACTGTGTGACTATCAAAGGCTGGAAAAATGGAGTGCCAGAACAGCTGATTCTTCAAGGTGGCTTCCAAAGTCTTTTTCTTTGCTATAATTAATTCTGTTCTTGTACATTTAAAATTCTAAAAGATGAGATAGCAAGAGGTACTCTTGATGCCAAACATAGCTTCAAACCATCCCCTTTACTCGAGTGCTTTTAAATGCTTACATAACCCTTCCGAGGAAGGTGCCCTTTCGTTGACTTCCTTGCAGCTGTTGCATCTAATTCCGCGAAGAAATTTGAATTTGAACCCTGAAGCAGGGTTCGTGAAAGACTATATGCGCGGGCCGTAAAGGCCGTTGAGCTTGATTGGCTGTGGGATATGTTCAAGCTCAAGCAGACACTTGGTTATCAAAAAAGGTTCTAATAATACACTGACAGGACACGGTGATAAGTGGTTGCCTGGGTTTCAAGCTGGTCAACACAACAACCTGGTAATTAGTTGCCCCTCCACGCTGAGAATATTGGCATCGGCTGTTATTCGTTCTGTTGTGAAGAAGAACGTTGAAGACTTGACTGCCTGTGGTATATTTAGACTAGATTGTCGTGGATTTTTTTACCCCAGCAGTTAATATCCAACGTATATGTTATTTAAGAAGCTGTAGGTGTTCTTGTTTACTCTGCCTGACTGCTGGCAAAAAGAAAACAGACTTGAGCTGTGCAGCCAACACAGTAAATAAGACAATTGGAAAAGCCTGTAAAACTTAACTTTTTCTAAAGATGGAAAACATTTGACAAAGAAAATTGGATATTTTAAATTTTTTTTCGTTTGGTTGGAAGGACACTTACTCCTCTTTTTTTGTACAGGTTAAGGAGACAAGAAAAACACTTAAGGATTCTGAAAGTGGGCTGGAAAAAATGGCTATTGGTCATCATATTCATGATCGTGCTCATGTCATTAAGAAATCCAAGAACAACAAGACTGGTGATGAAGAACTGAACCAAGAATTCATCAACCTGGATGAAAGTATGTTTGTGCCGTCCTCTAATGGGCTTTACGCTGTTGTTGTTTCCCATCCCAGTTTTGAAGTTCCAGCATGAGACTGTTTTTCAAACAGACTGGAAGTCTGCAAATCTAATTTCCTTAGCTGGTATAAATTTGGACAACTGAAGCAAAAGTAGCAAGTTGGTCCTGTTCGCTCATAGCTGAAAGTGTTTTAAGGGTATTTTATGGTTTCAAGCAAACTTTTAACAGAATTATACTATTTGCTTTGTGTTTGTGGCTAATACAAGATATATATATAGAGAGAGATAGATATTTAAGAAATGTCTGGTTTAAATGTGCATATACTTCTACAACACAGTGACTTTCAGATTTTTTCGATTTTATTTCCTCTCTCTCAAATGTAAGCCTACAAGCAATAAGCATTTAATTGTCTTTTACAGATCCACTAGAAATAATTCAGAGAATCATGGACCACAAGTTTAAGAAAAACACTGTTTAATAAAAAAGCCCAATTTTCATTACATGTTTTTTCACTTCTTTCTTTTTTTTGCATTTATTAACAATAAGCTTTGTTTCTCAGCTGAGGCCCAGACCTTTGATGAAGAGTGGCAGAAAGAGATTATGAAGTTCAGGCCATCGAGATCTAGATGCAATTTGGAGGCTCCGAGGTACAGAAGTATTCGTCACATACCCAAGGAAGATGGAATAAGAAGGTAAGAATAATAATTCTGCCTGCAGAGTAAGGGAATACTAGCAACAGAAGGAAAACTCAATTATGAAGCTATGTGTTTATGAACAAGCAACACAGTCTGAAGAGAAACAGTCCAACTCTGTGGTGATAACCATGGAAATAGTTTTGGAAGGAGAATCAGGTCTGTCTTGCAACTAAAATCACTATAGCTCTGCATAAGTAAATAACAAAATGTATATTCCCCCGCACTATCATACGGTGGTTGTGATTTCTTTGTTGTTGTTTGTTTCAGAGAGAAAGCACTCATGGGTCCCAGGGAGCCTGGAGTTTCTGTGGAGGATCTCAGTGTGAGAGGAACACATGTCCCCATCAAAAGCAGCAAAAAATAAAATTGCTTCCATTCTCTGCTTGAATCAGAGAAGATAATGGTGCTGCGTTGCTTATGTTCATATAAGTATACACGTATATATGACCAATTTCTGTTTTTTTGTTTTAGTATTAGCGTGCCTTGCTACTCCAATCTTTTGACAACTGAATGTTCTCTAAAACTTCAAATCCTTGATTAAACCATCTAGTTTCAGTAAACAAAAACCCCAACAACTTCCCATTTAAAAGCACTTTAATGGATTATTGCTAATTCTTTAAAAAAAAGAAAGAAAAAAATAACAACTTTGATTTACAAAATTTTTCTGCTACAGCTACACCAGTCTCAGACTTTTTATTAAGCCTGGTAATGCAACTACTTTTTTTTTTTTCCCCATCCTATAACTTTCAGAGAAAGTAAATTGTATTTTTGTTTTGTGTGGCTGAAATTATTATTAATATTCTAGATGTTATATCTATTAATAGCAATTTGAATACACTATAACCACTATATATATAATTATCTCATTAAAACCATACTGTAAATTGTTGTAGAATCCCCAGATTCACCTTCATTTAATGTGAAGTGAGAAGAAATACGAAAATGGCAAATACATTAAATGAATTTTACTTTATCAGCATTCTTATGTTCACAAGTTATGCTTGCGTCTCTTATTTTCTGTGTTCAGACTGTTAATTTTGTATTTCTGATCCTTGGTATAGTTCCTTTGGAGGTGGCCCGTTATGTTTGCTTTTTCATTCTTAAAGACTCTGTAGTAGCTTTTAATTATTTAATTATACTGCTGTGTCCTCAAACTCAGCTGTAACTATAAGTTATTAATCAGAAAAATGTGTGGAATTGGTTGAGTAGGCAGTAATTCAACTGGATTAAGGAATAATGACACCATTTCTTCTGCTCGAAAGAGCTGGAAGGGCCCTGCATAGAGGAACCCATTCCTCTCTCAGGTGGGAGATGTTTGTCTTCTGTTTTGTCCTGCTTTACTGTGGAACTATCCTAAATCTAACTCCCTCAACGTTGTTGTTATCATTTGGTTGGAGAGCCTGATGTTCCGGAGAAAAGCCACCAGCGAGGCTGAGAACAGGAGAGGCCTTCGTATTCAAAGTGTTAATTTTGTGTGGTTTTGTTACCCCAGGACTGATCCCCCTGTCGTCACGTCAGTAATTACTGTAGGCTGTAACATTAGAGCATTAGCAATCTAGCAGCGTGTACTTCAAGGCTAAAACATTATAGGGTAGCCTTAAAAAAGGGCACTATTTGTATGATCAAAGTAAATAAGTGTGGTAAGTTAGGATTAATATTTGTTGGGCTAAAACGGGAAGTGGCCTTTAAACCGCTCCCTGTCTGCAGATTCCCCAGGTTATTTCATTCTGTGTTTATTAACATCCAAAAAAAAAATCATCCAAAGTACCGTTGCTGAACTCTGATGAGAAGTGTTTCTCGGCTTGTTAAATGCGATAATCTTTTCCTATCACAGGAGCAAGCACTGGGGACACTAAATTTATGCTCTTGAACCATTTTATGAGCAAAGTCAGAGTTCAGGTCCGGAGCCTGGTCTCCCACACTCTGAAGACAACATCAGTTTTGCAATGTCACCGAGAATATAAAAGGCTGTGGAGGCATTTTCCTGGCGTGTCGCTTCAATTTCGCAGGAATAAACAGCAGAAAAGTTTTGTGCCATCGCTTCAGAAGGAATCTTCGATTGGAGAGATGCTGCTGTTTAACAGAAAGTAGTGTTCACCTGACAGCTCTAGACTTGTCTCGCTTAAAAATCCTTGATAAATAGATGTAATCAGTAAGTCACCTGTGTTGGTTTTAGAAAGAGACTAATATTCACTACAGATTACTTTATTAAGCAAACCAATGTTCTAAAATGTAATGTGAAAGAAATTGTTCCATGTAGAAACATCTGAAATTGTAATTCTTTAATAAAGTTATTTATTATTTATGGCTACTGTTTGGCTTACTCTACAGCGCAAAATGACTTGTGCATTATTTATTTTGGGCAGCTTTGAAACAGCCTCGTATGTGACACCAATAGCAATGCAATGAGGGAAAATACAACCCTTGATTTTTAGAAGGAAAATGTTTTACCACAAAAAAAAAGTTTGCTGGAAGGAAATAGGTAGGGGTAGGATTCGAGTATGGCCATGGCCAGGCTCCTTCTCTGCTTCACAACAGCTCTTGGAGTTTTCTCCGGTGTGAAAAAGTAAGTTTCAGGTGTAATCCTAATCACAGTGCATATATTTTTAATATTTGAGAATATTGGTACCTGCAGTCGCTTCCTTGAGCTGTGACCCAAGCTGTTCAGCCGTTCTCATCTCTGCCTGCTCTTCCCATGAGAGTCTGTGTCGCGGCCTGAGAGGGAAACCCCACCGAATCCACAGTCATTAACTGAAACGCTCTTGCTCCTGTGACTCAGCACTCAGCGTTATGAATTGGTACCTGTGCCCCACACAGCAGCCTCCTACGTATTCTGAGCCATCTTTTTCCCTTTTTTCCCCTGTGGTTGTTCTTTATGCTCGATAGTTCTTCCTAATGAGCCAGCTTCACCATGCTGGCACAGATAACCCTGCTCTTGACACCTCGGACATTGCCCGAGTCTGTTTTATCCTCATGGCTGCGCCAAAGCTATTAC